AAAAAACTGGAGGTTGTAAGTTGTAAGACGAAAAGTTCGGCTATTACCGGTCTGCAATATAATTTGCAGTAAAAAAATACAAAACTTCATGCATTTTGTGGTAAGGTAGAATGTTCTTTAGTTGTTTTACTTTTCTTACTCTGTGGTCTGCTCGGCACTTCAAACAACGCATTGCTGTTTATATAATGGATCAGAGACTAGGTTGCGAATGTAATGCTATAGAAGTGTTGGACGGAGAAGGAAGTTGCTAAGGTTTTGTTTGTCGTATCAATAGTGATTTTTTGATTTTTTTTTTTTGAGTATTCCTTGTCTATCTAAGGCTTAGCAAATGTTAATCTTTTTTAAATTTTAAGATATTGCGAGTAATACTGTTTATTTTATTCTGTAGTATGTAACGCTTGTAAAAGAGCCGACAAAATAATCAAGAATATTCAAGTTGAACTAGAGTGTTCACTTATAGTCCACTATCGATAGTCAAGACCGCTTTATTTTCGTAAGAATGAGCTGCTAGGCAAATAATAGCAAAGAGTTATTTGATATGTAAATCTGTAGCATTACTAGACCGCATTCTAAATATAAAAAAAATTGAAATTATGTAGCTGAAAAAGATTCATTGTATTTTATGATTTCTGGAATTTGATTCTACTTTTATTGGCGAACAATGCTTTTTGTAAAATTTCGTCACCACTGTCAATTAGATACACTTATTTGACTGATGTTGCACTTACACATATCCATATGTGTATATGTTTTAAGTGGTTTCGGTCTAATACAGAGTCCAAGTAATGACCATAAAAAGAAGCGTTTTCAAAAATAAAAATCTATCAGCTATGTCTGGGCAACAAAGGCGGAGTTATATGAACGGCCGTAGTGGCCGTGCTGATGACGAGGACGATGAATGAGGTGAAGCCTTAGCGAAGCCATTGTTCTGTAATCGTAGCAGGTTTCCTTAACGACTGAAGATTTTTAAAACGGTGATTATAGCAGAAATTATTCTCCCTTTTTAATAGCAGAAACGTGCTTTTGATATTCTTCTGTTTTACACGATAATCAACTTTTCACTTCTTCTTTCCTCTGTCGAAACCGAATCGACTCATTTTACCGTTTCGTTTAAACTTATTCGAGGTACCATTATTGCATTTATTCGACCAAAAGCAACAGTGTTTAGAACAAGATTAAGCACTGCTAATTTTAGATGTTAAAAGTTTTCCTGCTAGTAATACTGTGTCGGTCGATTAACGGATTGTCTCTTCTGACTTCGACGAGATATGGCATCAATACGGATCGTTTTGGTTTGCACCTCTTTTTTTTACTTTTACTTAAAACAGAAATAACAACAGTTGACAAGTACAAAATTAGGCGTAAAGTGATTCGCAAATTAACGTTCCTTATAGAAAAATGTTTTTTTAAAGTACAGTTAGTTGCAGTAGCTGATAGCGTTTAAGTTGAATACTAATAATTATATTGTTTAGTTGCGACAGATTGCAAACTTTTTACTACTACACTAATTTTAATATACATTGTCAAAAACTTGCATGAGTAAAGCAAATTTGTAATGGTATCGACGAGTAGCATACAAAGTGTGCTTTGCAGAAAAGTGTGAATTTGGTGCAGAACCTCAAAGATCACGAGAAGGAAATATTATATGGTGCAAAAATAATAATGAATGTTTAGAGCATCATACCTGTACACCTATTGAAGGCTTATTTCATTTTGGTATACAAGTTCGTTACTGTTGCCCAACACGAAGTATCATTATTTATTTATTTGTTCAATTATTTATTTCACTGTTCTTATTTCTGTTCAAAACTTTTTTAAAACGACAAATTTTATTCTGCGTTATTTTAATATGATTGCAACTCCGATTGAGTATAAGGTTTTTTTTTGTAGATATTGGATAAATTTTACCGTTTACAAACATTTATTGTAATTTTTAGAAATTTTTAATTCATTGAAGCAATATTTTTCAATAAAAGTAGTAGTTTAATTTAATTTATTCATTTGTTTATTTCTTAAAATTTTTTTACTTTTTTCAAAAAATTTTTGTTGTTTTTTTTTTTTTTATAATTACTGTTGGAAAAATCCAATTTTTCTAATTGATTAATTTCTTCTAGTTAACTAACTGAAAAGTAAAATTAATGTGTTAAAATTTCAATTAAATAGCTGAAACATTATGTCTTGTTGCAAAGATGATAGACCCGCTAAATGGCACTTGTTTGGAAACAAGGCTAATAGCCAAGATAGACCAATTGTGTAAGAGAGCAATCAAACATACTCCAAACTGAGAGACAGTCGCACTTTTGGTCACTATTGTTTGCTGGTTATTTGCAAACTATTTGAAACATATATTTTTTTTGAAATCAAGTTTAGTAACTTGACAGATGTGAAAGTGAACGAATTTTTGTTGACTGCAAAAAGAAAAAAAATATTTCTTTCAAAATTAAAAGTTGAATAATTATTATTAAGTGTCGGTTTGCTTACTTCCACCTCAACCGGGATATGGAGACTGTGGAAAGAAGCCAAAAAAAATGTATTACTTTGATGCCACTCGACTTCACTGTCAGCACTTCAAAGTACTCGAATGTTTGGGCATCAATGACAACAGATTCAATTCGGCTGAAGAATGTGCGGCAGAATGTGAAAGAACAGGTTTCTCTACTTATCATTTTTTTCCTTACCACTTTCCTTAACCGCTGTTTGTACAGTGGCCCAAGCCGACTGTTTTGATCGGTACGGCTATAAGGATGCTCTTTATCATAGGTTTCTCTTTAATGATACCTCTGGAACTTCAATTTATTTACTTCCTTTGAACACTAATAATATAAAA